GAAGCGGTGGGCACTCTAGCCCCGGCGCCGGGAGAGACCCGCGCAGCCCGTGCCTGCCTGCCCCATGGCGCCCGGCCCCCGGCGCGTCACCGCCACTCCGGGTTGCTCGCCCCACCCGGTCCCGCGTCCCCAGTCCTCGCTCGCTGCGTTCGGCGGCCCGCGACCGCCGATTGTTTTTGTTTTCACGGGAACCGGCTGATGACCTGGTTCTCCAGGGCGGCACCAAGAGCCACGGACCCGAGGGGGGGCACCGCAGCAAGGGAAGGAGGCGGCGCGGACTGTACCAAGCGCACCCGCCAGGGGAAGCAGCTCCACAAGGGCGGGCGGAGGAACGCGACAGGCATACGCTCGTGCCTCCGCTCTAAAGGTGAGGGCCGTACCACATGGAAGACGTGCAAGGGAGAGGTTGAGGGTGGAGCAGGGACCCAATTGGTCCGAGGAGCTAAAGAGGAAACTTTGGAGAGAACCACGGCACTCAGAGAGCGCTACAACTACGCGCTCCGTAAACAAGAAGGTGGAAACCGTCCGTAACTACTCCGCCCAGAAACCGGGAAAACGAACCAATAGGCGTGGGGAATACGTAAGGAACCAACGTTCTCCAATCCCTGGCCTAGGCGTAAACCTTCAGCCAATCCGGGCCTAGAGGCCAAACCAATAGTCTCGCTGTTGGAGGGGATGACTTGGAGAGGAAACCAGGAAGCAAGTTTTTTTCTGGAAAACCGTAAGGTGAAACATGACAGAAATAAAAAGGCCTATGTTACATAAGACTTTGCCCTAACCATAAATTATTTCATCTCCCTATCATTCGGGAGGTAGCGTCTCCTAACGTTTGGAAGAGGGACTTGCTGCCGCGGTTGAAAGACTAGGCCCGGCCGGGCGGAGGTTGCTAGCGAGAATTAAAGGCGGGGTGATTCTGGGGGCGGCGACAGGATCTACTTGCTAGCCGCGTTAGGCTTCAGTGCTGCCTTGACCCCCGCGACACCAGTATGTCACACTAACACTCCCCTTTCCCCGCAGGCCTTTGCCCTTTGGCCCCTGATCCCGGAACCTTTCCTGACCGGTTGCCTCAGCCCGGTTGCACATGCCGGCGGCTTCGCGGAATGGAAACTTGTCCGAAAGCCGGACAGCCTGGTCCCTGCCTCTTAGGCGCCTTATTCCATTCAATCGGATCGAGTTACCCCCTTTGCGTGAGCCTTTCCCCTGACTTGCTGTTGGTGCCTCCAACCTTGGCCTATATCCCCTTGCTCACGAAGCTTTATTCAGCAACATTAGCTTTAGCTTTGCTTCAATAGCCAAGCTAGTATTGCCTCAGGGCTTCTGCTCTTACCCTTTTTGTCCGCCTGGAAAATGCTTCCACATTTCTCATCCTAAAGTTCTCAAGTCACCTGTCCTCTCAGAGGGTTCTTCCCTGACTACAGTAATACTGCCTCTACCTTCTGGCACTCCCTCCGCTGCTGTATCATTTATTATCGTATCAATTATATCACTAGTTTTATTGTTTCCTTCCTACTTATTCAATCGGAAATGATCTGATTCATTTATTCGTGTACTTTTCTGCCTGCACCTCATCAATAAAAGCTCCACGAAAGTAGGCCTCTTGCCTCTCTAGTTCTGTGCCCAGAATAAAGCCTGGCAACATGGTAGGCAATCTTTTGTTTTTTTATTTATTTATTTTTTTAATTAAGGTGAAAACTTTTTGAGCCCCAAATTCCTTTTTTATAATTGGAATACTTCATTAGATTCTTAGGAAAATTAAGTGAGACAATATATATAAAGGCCCATAAAAGCACATGATAATCACATGATAAATGGTGGTGGTGGTTATTACTACCATCAGTTATCAGATATAAATCTGGGATGGCAACTTAAGTCATGAAGTCACATTGGTCTAGTCCGCAATTCTTTTATTCATTTCTTGGTGATGCTTGAGAGCAGCCCCAGGTGTCCCTGTTACATATCTCCTTTCTCCTCCCCACCCAACCCATTTGCCTCTCTTCCTTCTTTTCTTGGCTGATGGCCCTGATTCCTGCTTCACTAAGATAAACATCCAGCTCTAGCACACTCTGCCACTCTTGTTTCTGTCTGTGCCGTCCATTTTGTGAACTGTTGTCAAGAACCCAAAGAAACAGGAGTCCCTTCTCCCTTCCTAAGCCAGCAACCCTGGGGCCTGCTGGCTTCATTTCACCTCTGTCAGATCTTCTTCCCCTTCTTTACACCTGGTTCTTCCTTTCTGCTTTTAGGCTGAATGGGTCTGACCTACCAGAGGGGTTGGAAGAGGGGCAGAATCTTCATTTAATCCTCCTCAAGATTTTCCCCTTTTCCTCTCAGTCCTTTTACTGCCAGACTACCCAGACAAATCCTCTACACTTGTTCCTCCATTTTCTCCAAAGATCTCCTTGGAAAGTTCTGTCATCCTTTCTCACTCTTTTTTGTTCCTTAACCTCACTGCAACACATGAAAATGCCACTTCACCCTCACCTTTAAAATTCTCTCTTGACCTCCAGGGCATCGCCCTGGTATTGTTCAGTCACCTCTTCTCTCTTGCTGGCTCTTCTTTCTTGTTTAGCCTTCTTATATGGAGGAGCATTGACCCCAGATTCTGTCCTCAACCTTCTCTTTTCCCTTTACCTGCTGTCCTAGGAGAACACATTACAGTCTCCCCTCTCCAGCCCTGATCGGCCTCAGAAACTAGCTTCACATCTTTCCAATCAACAAGACATTATTATCCAGAGAACTTGTTGCCTCCAATCAACATGCCAAAAGCAAAATTTATATTTCCCTTACAAAACTGACTTTCTTCCCCTTGACTCCTCAATTTTGGTCAACATTAACTTAATTCTCCCAAGTTTCTCTGCCACTTCATCCTCATCTTTAATTTACCTGTAGGATTCTTGAAAACCTTTCCTCAAATCCACTAAACTATTTCCACTGTCACCCATCAACATCCTTCTCAAGATCCTTTTCCTTTGCGAAGTCAAATTCCTTCATTCACCCCAGAATCATTGGTGTTCCCCAGGATTTTGTCCTCCTCAGTGTCCCTAGATATAAAGATGGTCACACTCCCTTTTTCATTCACCCTCCACATGGAGTCAGACTTAAAGTTCTACTGAGTCTAACTTCCTAATGTCTTAAGTGAGCCTTTTTAATTTCTATATCCTCGCCTTTATCAGTATCTTCAACATTTTTTCAAGATTGTAATTGCTTTACTTACCTGCTTTTGATCTCTTACCCTTACAAGGACACCAAATGAATCTCCGTTCCCCTCAAAAGGTTGTTATAATAATTAAATGGGATAATTTAATTATCCCATTTAAACCATTCAACACAATGGTAAGAGCACATGGTAAGTGCTATCATTATCATCCACTGATCAGAAATAATTATACAAATATCAAATCATTATGTTCTATACTTAAGACTAATTAAAAAATTCAATTCATCAATTATACTAACCACGTTTCAAGTACTCAGTAACCACATATGGCTGGCTAGTGGCTACTGTGCTAATCAGCACAGGAGGAACATTTCCATCACTATAGAAAGTTCTATTTAACAGAATTTTGTTTAGATCATGACCACACAGTAAAGTTACAAGTCACTCCTTGAACTGCTATAGGACTTCTCTGTATCAGTCATTTAATGCATGGGTGCACAGTACCCCTCTATTTTTGGTTAACTTTTAAATATTTGCCTTATTTGCCCAATTAGATTATTATCTTGGAGGTCAAGGCTAACTTTTCTTTTTCTCTCTCATGATTTAATGAGCAAAGAAAAGTGTTCTAGGTATTTGTTAAAAGAAAGAGAATAAACAAGAGGCGACAGGGCCTCAAATTTAACTGAGTAGAGAAAATAGTACTTGTATGGGCAGAGATCTTTATGTTCCCTCCGTACTTTGTATTGGCCTTTCCTACCCAGTGCATAATTGCTTTAAGCCTAAATCTTGCTTTCTCAAAGGGTCTCAAGAAGCAAGAGGAGAAAAATTCAGTTTTCAGAACAACCACAGATTATTTTTTTATGATTTCATTTCACCACACAACAAAAAAGAAGTTAAACACACAAACAAACACAATTCCAATATTAAATGGACTTCTGCACCATCTTCTGTTCAATCTGGAGAACCTTTCATTTGCAATCTTGGATTTCACTCTCTGGTTTTCCCCTGCACTCCAAATTCAATTCTCTTTAAGATTTAAGTAAACATTTAAAAAGGAAGAAAAAGGAAAAGGAAACCCTTTGTCTTTTGACCAAAATATATATTCATTGTAAGAAAATTAGAAAATGCAGCTTGAAGTCAAGATGGCAAAGTAGGTAAACACTTTGTTTTCTTCTCTCACAACCATATCAAAATTACAATGAAACTACAGAAAAACCATGATTGGGAGTTGCCTGAAGTCTAGCTTAACAGAAGTCCTACATCTGGGGCCGCACAGAAGAGGCCACCTTGGGACTGGTAGGAGGGGCAGAGATGTGAGACTGGCTGGTACCACACCCGTGTATGGCGGTTGAGAATCAGGAGGGCTATCTCAGCTGCAAAGGTTCCCCCGGAGAAGCAAGGGATCCCAGCCTCGCATCGAGCTCCCCAGGCCAGGGTTCCAGTGACAGAAAGAGAAGTCCTCACAACTTCTGGCTGTGAAAAGCAGTAGAATTTGTGGCTGAGTAAGACGAAGGGCCACTGAAGTCACAGATATTCCTTTTAAGAGGCCTGCATGCAGACTTACTCAGTTACAAACTCATTTGCTCTGAGCTCCAGCACTGAGACAGCAGCTCAAAAGGCACTCAAAAGGTACACATGGGAGGGAATTGAATTGTCTAGCTTCAGGGCAAGAGCTAGAATGACAGCTTTCTCCCTGAAAGAAGTGCTAGTAGAATTCATTGTTTCTTTGTTCATTCATTCCCATCTCCGGCATGCAGGC